GGCCTCAGCATAAAAAGGTTTCTGTTCAGCTCCAGGCTGCCCCTGGACAGCTGCCTCACCTCAAACTGTAAACAAACAGTGAGAGGGGAGGAGAGTGGGCCCTCTGGGATTCATCAATGTGCCCTGTCAAATAGATGAATTACCCCTTTTCCCCAGAGTAAATTAAGCAACTGCCTTGTTCCAAACCTCCTCAGCTTTGTTGTTGGAAACCAGCTAACCCTTTCGAAGGTTCAATGGGTTTGATACCACCAGACGGGTGTGATAAGCCAATATTAAATATGTAAATCTATTAGCAATAAAATAAATTAGAGATACTGGCCCATCCCTCAGCCCATCCCACCTAACTCAGAGACACAGGCCCTTCAAGTTGAAACATACATTTCTCAAGCACCTCCCTCCAAATCCAGGACACCAGTCCGTTCCACCCATTCCTCCCAAATGAGGGACCCTTGGCTCTTTACAATATGCTCCATTAAAATGGGAAGTCCCCTGCCCTTTACACCGGCCACCCTAAACTTAAGCAACCTTGCCTCATTAAAAAGGGAAAGGTGGTCTTTTAAACAGAGTGGAGTAATTCAGATCTCTAACGATACATCTACATGTGATAAAAGATGTGCGGCACAGCCATGGCTGGCCCGGGTCAGCTGACTTGGGCTCTTGGAAGGCTCGGGGTGTGGGGCTATAAAATTTCAGTGCAGACATTCAGACTCGGGCTGGAGCCCAGGCTCTGAGACATCACAAGTGGGGAGGATCTCAGAGCCCGGGCACCAGCCCGAACCCAAACGACTACACTGCCATTTTATAGCCCTGCAAGCCTGATTCAGCTGACCCAGGTTCTGAGACTATTTGATTGACAGAGTTTGTTTTTAGCCTGCTGGGACAGTCGCAGTGGCATCCACCGGATGATGATCCAGCTCTGCCTGGAGGAATCTACAGACGAACAGTTGCCATGTTCATCTCAAAATCCACCTGAAGCTTTAGGCCCCTTTAGAGGCAGAGGAGCTGTCTTGTCTCAGCACAGCAGAGTATCAGTATCCTGTCCAACAGCAGAGCTGGCCTGCACCGAGCTCCCCCACTCATCTAGCCAAGGCAATGGCCAACAGAAAAAAGTCTTGTTCCAAGATGAACCCCAGCTCACAGGATTGGAGCAGCAGAGAGACATCCAGCGTAACCAGCCCGGTAGACTACTGCCAGGCAAGCACCTGAATGGCTCATGGAAGATTACTCCCCCCGCCAATGCTTCTACCAAGTTCACAACAACCAACAGATGACTGGCACTGCTGGCTTCCAGCTCACTACATAAAGCAGAGACAACTGTTAACTGGGATTGAATGTTCCTGGTTTAGAGCTGGAACAAGCCTGATCCCAGGATGACGGCAATGGTCAAAATCCAAGGCACGAAGCCTTGTCAATTAACAAACACTGGCACAGTTCTTCCACCTTTTGGTGCTGGTCGCTATCTTCCTCAACCGCTGCAGGTCCCTGAGGGAGAAATAATCCACGTGTCTTCAAATCCCACCTCCCAGCAGACGGGGTCATCAACTGAAATGCAACTAGTTCTCTAAGGAAGAGTCTGCAAAGCAATGACACAGGGGAAAGGCACAGAACAGACCTACAGCCATGTCCTGACCCCCTCTGACAGCCAGCTCAGACATCTGTATGCAAACCAGGTCATTTTCCTGTAGCGAGGAGTGACAGACAAATCCCATCGCTAAATGTTTGCTGCTCCTTGGCATCGCTGCCACTGGTGAACCTCTTCTGCTACTCCGCTCAACTCACCGACACTCAGAATTTGGCCTCAGAATGCTACTGTCAGGTGGATTTGTGAGACATGCAAGATATCCACGGTCTGTTCACCCTTAGCCAAAGGACTTGGGGACACACGCCCGTTTGTTCCAGTGAGAAAGTACTTGACGGTCTGTCCTGAGCATTGCTCTTCCACAGCTCAGTAGATGGACAAAGTACATGAAGGCAGTTCAGACAGCCAGTAGTTCTGGTGAATTTATATGCAAATCCCTGTTGGAGTCTGACCAGAGCCCAGTAACAAATTTCTCCGTACAGGCCTCACAACCAGACCAGGAGGTATCCTCAGTCAGCACAGATGTACTCTGTTACAAGTTCCACAATCCATGGTCCATCAGATTTCAATGTCCAGGGCCAATGGACCCCAAGCATGATGGTCTTTGGGACACAGTGCGAGACCCATCTCTTGTCTCCTGCCTTCCGCGAGGTGTGAGGTGTGTGGGCTGGTCAGTAGTTTAGTGTGTGCATGAGGGGAGTGGGGGGGAGAGTCATTCGGTTGTGGCTTTGCCAGATCGAGTTATAGTGCCACATTAAACACTGTGCACTTGCCCACAGGTTGGATACATTTTATCAGCTTAAAAATAAATGAATAAATCAAGTTCTGACATGTTAAGGACTCTGCTAGGTGTGGAGGCTGATCTACTGAATATTCTCATCTCTTCATCCTGCTGGTGGAGCTTGCGAACAACTGGACTGGCTTCATCTGAAGCAGAGCAAAAAGAACAGGGGCAACCTGGCAGTCAGAACTCCCAAAAGCCTGAGAAATACTCCTGCAGAGGGGCTGTGAGCAGGCTGCAGCTCGAGTCCATTAAAGACCGACTCTTACGGTGAGGATATTACCGCCATGTCCGTGCACAGCTCAGCTCCGAGTAAACCTTTGCTGATGTGGAAGCTGGTTCTCCATCCTTACACATGTGGTGGAGGTATCTGCTAGGGAGAGCTGCCTTTGACAGCCCAGTCATCCAAATGCTCTGGGAGACTGAGCTTATCACCCCCACCAGACAGTCAATGAGGCTGGTGAGAAATGCAGCCAGGGGCTGGGAACCTGAGCAATTTCCTGTGGGGGTATGAAAACAGGCCTCCTGCAGGTCTGCACTCACTCCCCACTCTCCCCTGCTGGACCCCACGTGAAGGGCAAGAGTAAGAAAAGGATGAGACTTTGATCCCACAATTCGGCTCTCTAGGGCTGAGATTGGAGCTGAAAACCCTCTGGCTTCTCCTGGAGAATGAAACACCTAGTACAGAACCAGTGATACACGAACCCACCTCTCTGCTGCAATTCTCCTCCAGTTTGGACCAAAGCACTTCATCTAGCTCTGGAGCTGGTACACAAGAAGCTCTGAGAGCTTTGCAGAGGTCAAAGTCCCCTTCTCATTCTAGCACTGCTGCAGTGGGCTCCTGGCTGGGGCTTTCCCAAATGGCCGAGCTGCGAGAGACGGCTTGGGTCTGCCTTCTAAGGATCAGCTCTCCTTTCACTCCTCAAGGCCTGGGCCTGCTCCCTTTTTGTGACCCCTCTGGCTGCCCACATGCCACTGGGCCAAACAGGTTTGTCCTTCTAGAAGCAGGTTAATTTTGCATGAGAGGAAGGACGGCCTTGTCGCTAGGGCAAAGGCCTGGGAGTCAGCCCAGCTGGATTCTGTTCCCAGATCTGCCAAAAGCTCATCCTGTGATTGGGGCAAGTCACGTCATGTCTCTGTGCCTCACTTTCCCCAGCTGTAATATCAGGCTTAATTCACTGAAAGCCTCAGCGGTAGGCAGTGTTGTTACACACCCGTCAGAGACTTGGAACCAGCTGGCCACATGCTCTGCCATCCGAGGCAACCTCTCTAAGTCTCACGCCCTTCCCTGCTCCCATAGCTGGCCCTGCCAGGAGTCCTTGGCCTTTTCTCTGAACGTCGTTCTGACGAAGCCTGATCATTTTCTCATTTTAGTTGGTATCTTGCACAACAAAGCCCCTCCCCCGAGCCCCAAAATAGGGCCCCAGAGACTGGCGGTGTGGACAGTGAGGAGGAGTAAGGGGTGTTTACGAGACTAGCCGTTCCTGGAATCCAGACTGCTGCTTGCCAGTTTTCAGTCACCTTTCCGGAATGTGGGGAGGATTCGCAGCAATTTCTTCCTGAACATTCATCTTTCTCGCCCTGTGAGCTGTGCGCACTTGTTCCCTCCACCTCAGCCTCCCAGCCCTTCCCTCCACCTCGCAGCATTTCTCTGCACCCCTCAACTCCACCTCAGCCTCTTGATCTTCCCACACATCTCCGCCCTCTCTCCTAGCCTCCTAACCCTTTCCCACCCCGTCTCTCTTCCTCTTCCTCCTGCTCCCTGTCCAGCTCTCTCTGGGTATGTCTGTCTACACTGGAGCTGGAGGTGTAATTTCCTACTCCGGCAGACCTACACATGCTAGCTCTAATCCAGTTGGTGCACTGAACGTAGCAGCGTAACCACGGCTGCGCAAGGAGCTAGCCACCCTGACTACGAGCCCATCTGAAAGTGAGGTACTTACTTGGGCAGCTAGTCCCTCCTGCCGCTTGCACCACTGCAGCTACGCTTCTGTTCATAGTGTGCTGGCTGGATCAGAGCGGGCCTGGGTACGTCTGCCCAAGCTGCGAATTCCACCTCCAATGCAGACTTACCCTCTGCCTTTCTCTCCCAACTCCCCCTCTGCCTGTTTCCCTTCTCTCTGTCGCTACTCCCCAGCTCTCTCCAAGCCTGTGGGCAGCAGGGGCCAGCGGCCCACTTCTCCACACTCCTGCTCAGGGTCTCTTTTGATGCGCCACATCTCACGCCTTTACAGAAGAGTTAATGTTCATTTTAAAAATCCAGGGCGGTGGATGAGCCTGAAGCTGGGGGCAGAGGCCCCTCTGATGCAAAGAGACCCTTAGACGGGCTGGGTTTAGTATCAAAGGCTCCTGCTAAGCATGTGTTCTGAGTAACGCAAGGAGATGGCAGTAGCCAGACCTGCCTTGGATGGTACAATCAGACGCTCACACACAGCTCTGTTCCTGGGGCCGGCCGGCATTTCACACTTGCAGAGAATTAACTTTCCCCTGGGCAGGTTATAATGGAGAACAACACAGGATCCCAGGGATTCCAGCACAGCGCTGCCACCCCCTACCGACTCTTGGGCTAGGGGAGGACAAAGGGCTGGTGGGGTAGACGTGAGTGTGGCTGTATCTCTGGGGGACCGGTCAGTTACTCACAGCTCCTTGTAGTTGGCATCGTAGAGAGTCACCCACTTGTTCTGCTGATGCGGCTGCCACTTTATGGACTGGTAGTTGGGATCCAGGTAGGAGCCGTTCAAGCTGTCGTTGTCTTGAATTAGCCCTGCAGTCATGGGGAAATATTTACTGAAATCATTTCCGTGAGGTCCCTGACCAGGCAAGAGCTCCCCCTGCTGGTACAAGGGAGATACTTCCACTCTGCACTCGCTCAGCCCGAGACCCATGTCCTGACTGTGCTATCAATGCACCCTGTGCCCCAGCCCAGGGCCAAGGGGAGAGCGTCCACCCTCCGCACTATCAGCTCTGGGAACAACGCTCTCACTTGCTTATCTGGGGGGACACTTCCAGTCTCACTCTGTCCTGCAGGCTCCTCTCCCGTGCACCCCACCTGGGGAGAGCTCCCCCTGCTGGTGCCAGGGAGGTGTTTGGTAATGTTGGGGGAGGAGGGGACGAAGAGCACATACCTGGTGAGAGTGCCCCCTGCTGGTGCCAGGGAGGCGTTTGGACTCTGTCAGGGTTGAGTGGCACAGACCCCATACCTGGCTCCTGCTTTATCATCCCGTTGAGCATCTGTGCATTGAGTGTGTTGGGGGGCGACTCTGAGTGTTTCCTCTTCTTGGCTGGGTGAACTGGGAGGCTGCGGAGACCAACCGGGACAGGAAACCCTGAGCTGCAAGGCAGCGAGCAGGAAAGCAGGGCAGCTGCTCAACCTCCACCAAGGGAACAGTGAGCGGGGGACGGATGGGCTCCAAAGGCAGGAACAGGATTTGGGCTTGGGGCTGGGGAAGATTTTTTAAAATAAGGGGGAGGGATAGCTCAGTGGTTTGAGCATTGGCCTGCTAAACCCAGGGTTGTGAGTTCAATCCTTGAGGGGGCCATTTAGGGATCTGGGGCAAAAATCTGTCCGGGGCTTGGTCCTGCTTTGAGCAGGGGGTTGGACTAGATGACCTCCTGAGGTCCCTTCCAACCCTGATATTCTGTGATTCTATGGGGGCGGGAGCAGGGACTCAAGTGAAGGCAAATGTCTAGTTCAAACGTATAAAAATTAAAGACTTTGTAATCTCAGTATAGGGAGACCCATTACTTTTCAGTGTCATTATCACCCCCCCCTTACCGCCATGCCCCACCCCTGCACCTCCTCCACTCCCCACCCCACCGCCCCTTTACCGCCATGCCCCACCTCCGCACCTCCTCCATTCCCCACCCCACCCCCACACCTCCTCTGGGATCCAAATATCCCCCTCGGTTCTCCCTGTCCCTCCCCGACGCTCTTACTCTGCTCCGTGCTGCTGCAGGAGCTGGTGAAGCATCTGCGACTGCTGGGCGTGGTGGAGATCGCCCGGGGACATGCCCTGCCCGATGACGTACGGCGGCATCAGCGGCTCAGGCTTCATGAACATGTCCCGCTGCATACTGGGATAATGGGGGTTGTGCTGCTGCTGGTGTGGATGCGGCGGAGGTTGTGGGGGACCCTGAAGGTGGGGAGGCGGGGGAGGGTGCTCCAGCCGGGAAGGTGGAGTCATGTGGCACATGTTCTCGGGGGTCATGGTCCGGAGGAGGTGAGGATCTTCAAAGAAAATATAATGGATTCATCAGAACCCCATGTATAAGGCCAAACACAATCTGTCCCGAGTCCACCCCTCCCTCCCCACTCAACCACCCGCCCCTCCCCCAGTCCCAGGGGAGTCCAAACCCACCCACGGCAGATTACATCATGTTCCCGCAAACTCCCCCCACTTCCCCGAGCTGGGTTACCATACGGCTGGGGTTTCCGGACACAGCCTCTTTTTCGAGCCTCCACCCTGTCTGGGGTGGGAGGATTTGAAAAGCAACAGGCAATGTCCAGGGTTTTTGCAGCTCAGAAAGAGCCTCCCTTGCAGCGGCAGCTGATTGGTCCATTCCCCTATAAGCCACAACGGCCAGATCCCGCCCACCCAGGTCCCGGTTCCCAGCTGTGGGGTGGGGGTCCCGCAGGGAGGCACTGAGTGACAGCTAGTGCGGGGTCCTGGGCTTGTGCCAGCCACCCTGCCACGGTGACACAGAGCAACACTGTCTCCCCACCTCCAGTGAGTACCCCGCCGCAGATACCCCTGTCCAGCATCCCCGCCTGCCTACCCCCTGCCCCAGCACACTTGGGCCCCTAGCCCACCTCTCCCAAATGAGTCTACTCTGGTGTGGGTAACTATGCAGGCAATTCTGGGACTGTATTTCTCCTCCCATCTCCTGCTTGTTTGGAGGCCCAGGTGTCCCACGGGGATGGCTGGGGATTTCCAGTTTGTAAGGAGAGTTCCAGCTACTTTTCCTTTATAAACTCAGCAGCACGGTGAGGCTTTAGGCCCCGTGATTTGGAAAGGGGGTTGAGGGAGCCGGATGAGCAGAATGCCCCACACCCACAGTTAGCAAGGCTCCCAAAGGGCTCACATCGGATCTAGTCCATGCAGAATAGGAGGCTGACACTACATTACAGCTAAGGTTCAAACCACACAATCAGGATGTTCAGAGTTCAAGCTCCTAGTATCTCCCAGCACACAAGTCACTAATGCCTTGATACGTAGGTGCAATGGGGCAGAGTTAGTATTTAGCTGGACTGCTGTAGCATCAGGAATCGAGGTCCCTGTGATGATTTAGCTTATGTCTGTCTGTCTCTATGGCACACTACAAATGTCACTTTGGTCGTGAGAAGGACCCATTCTTCCCTGATGTCTTTGTGCCTCTATCTTGGCCTGGAATTGCAAGCCACAGGGCAAACAATGCGGAGAGATCAGGAGTTGTTAATCCGGAGGATCACCTATTGAAATGCAAGCACCTCGACCAATGAGCTCACAGATATCCCGTCCTTCCAGGTGAGCTGGTAACCAAGCAATGGATCACCTGACAAGGGACTTGACAGGGTCACCTGTAGAAGGGGACTGCAGCTTTACAAAAGGGTGGCTCCCTCACAGACGAAGAAGTGGGCTGTAGTCCACGAAAGCTTATGCTCTAATAAATTTGTTAGTCTCTAAGGTGCCACAAGTACTCCTGTTCTTCTTTTTTTAGAGAGGGAGACGCACTAGTCTGTCCAAGACCCAAAGGGTTCTCAGAGTGGCAAGGGAGGGATTTGCATGCAGGTTTTATTTTTCTAGAGATCTGTATCTATCTTGTCTATACGAAAAGAGTGTGTGTGCTTAGAAACTCCTTTGCAGCGTCTGCGTGTTACCTGCTTATGCTGCCAAGGAGCCCTCAAAGAAATCAGAGGGTCATGCTCCGGCGGAAGTTGGGGAGCACGCAGCAGCTACTGGGGAGGCTTGGATGAGCCAGCACTAGTTCCAGGGGGCCTATGCAATGGGACCGCGTGGTCACAAGGGGTGTCGGACAAGGGGTCTGCCCCTGCAGCACGTGCCTAGAAGCCCAGAACCTGAGAGACAGCGTGGCTGAACTCTGCCCATGCCCAGCAAGCTAAGAGCAGCCTGGGGAGCGTCCGGCTGGGAGAGCTCCCGAGGGTTGTAACAGCCCCATCGTACTAGGCACTGTGCACATCCAGAGCCAAGGGACAGCCCCTCCCCAAAGAGCTGACAATATAAGACAAGAGACGAGCAGCAGGAGGACGCGTCAGGTAACAGTGAGATGTGTACAGACAGCCTGATAAGCAGCGGTCACAGCATACACCCTGTCTCGCCACAGCCGAGGATTTTGTGAGCACACTCAGAAGCTGCACAGGAAATAAGATAGGGGAAATCTCACTTGCTGTGCCCCCAGCACCAGCCCCCGCCATGCCCGCAGCACCACCCTGCAAGCCCAGATTAGTCCCCTCGTTGCACCAGCCCTGCCCAGCTCCTGCCTATCGTAGGTACTTCTCTGGCCCCCAACACTGCAGGATCTGAGCACCTCACAAGTTTCAGGGTATTTAGCGTCAACCCTCCCCTCCGAGATGCAGGGAAATGCTGTTATCCCCATGTTACAGCCAGGGCCAACTGGGGGAGGAGGGGGGGCCGCGCAGGAGGGCCATTTGGCCGGGGCCTCAAGCTCAAAGGGGGCCTCAAATTTAGACACTTGTTAATTTTTTGGCATTTGATAAGTTTCACAACTTGTTTTTATGCGCATAATTTTTTCGTTAACTGATCTAGATTTTGTCATATTAAAGAGTTAAAAATGTTCATAAATATTAATAAAAATATATCATTTCTGATGGCACAAGATTAGACCATGTGTCGTCATTTTTTCTTTTTATTACGGCTAGGGGCCTCAAAAGCTGGAAGTGGCCGGGGCCTCTCTGGACCTCTGAGAGAGCCTGGTTACAGCTGGGGAACTGAGGCACTAAGGGGCTTGCTCACGGCCCCACAGGAAGTCTGGGGCAGAGCAGGGAATTGAACCTGGGTCTCTCCAGTCCAAGGCTAGTAACGTAATCACTGGACAATCCTTCCGCAGTTCCTGTATCAGCAAGTAAAGCAACTCCCTGCTCCCTCACTGCCCCTTTATCCTGCAGCCATGAGCCACCCTGTAACCCTGGCCTGCACCACAGCTCCAACCTCTCCCTCTCCGTGCCCCACCCACATCCTCCAGTCATTGCCACCACCACCGCAGCCTCCTCTCCTAGCCATGCTGCCTCCCAGCCTGGGCTTCTCTCATTTCCACTGACGCCAATGCTTGCCATGGGAGCGACCCTCTCTGAGCTGCTGGGGAGGGGAGCCACAGGTGTGGGCTGACTGGAGAAAGACATAACACAACGACATAGCAGTCAGGTTGGGCCAGCCTAAGTGTTGGAAATCTCACCCTCAGTGGTGCAATAACAGAGAGATTTTTTTGTGTGTGCATTTAATTCACTAATATACATTTTTACACACCGAGAGGACTTTGATCCTCACATTCAAATAAACAAGGGAGATTCAAATACACACTCCTACTCCCCACTTCTATATGTAGGATCAGATATTGAAATGAAGCCACTATCTGGATTTATTTGACTGTGTTGCCATCAAAATAAATGTTTAACGAGCGGCATCTGAGAGGGTGTGCAAACTAACTGCCCCCACCACAGGCCCCGATCCAGCAACAAATTCCACACAAGCAAAACCCTGTGTCCACATGGAGCTCCTGGCAAGATCAAGGCCTTACACCTTAACCTGCAAACACTCCCTACCCAGTACACTACATGCAAACAGTCTCACTGAAGTTAATGGGATTCCTCACAGTCCAGTAGTACTTGTTTGCAGCAGCAGGCCCTTACCCTGTTAGAAAGAATAGCGTCCCTAGGCTTCAAACATTCAGCTGGACTGATCCTAAGTCAAATGCCTCCCAGTGCAATACATTAAGAAATAAGGCCCAAGGAAAGGTGGAAGTTTCTAACATGAAGCCACTTTGAAGGCATCTGAGAGCAAAACAGAAGTATTGGGAACAGCTGTGAGCTGGTGAAACCCATTCTTTTTCCACACATGAATCTCTGGAGACCCCAACGCCACCCTGCAAAAAAAATTCACATGGGAGATGAGAAAAGGCATGAGACATTTTAGCCACAGGGGTCATTTTTTGGTGCCAGACAATAGTAAATATCTGGAAGAAATTAGGAATTAATGACAGGTTTCAGAGTAGCAGCCGTGTTAGTCTGTATCCGCAAAAAGAACAGGAGTACTTGTGGCACCTTAGAGACTAACAAATTTATTAGAGCATAAGCTTTTGTGGGCTACAGCCCACTTCTTCGGATGCATAGAATGGAACATATATTGAGGAGATATATATATACACATACAGAGAGCATGAACATGTGGGAGTTGTCTTACCAACTCTGAGAGGCCAATTAAGTGAAAAAAAAACTTTT